GTTCGTGTTCGGTTCGTTTACACCCCTACACATACTACATAATTGTTGTGTATTTACATATCTATCATCTAAATTCCAATATATATATATATATATATATATTTGGTTCAAATCGCGCGGGAAACAGAGGAAGTGTCCTGCGAGCGACGATGCAGGAAGCGGGTGTCTGCTGGGATGAGCAGCAGGTGGGCTCGGCGTACATGGAGGAATTTTCAGCGGCAAGTGCTTGCCTGAAAGGTCACCGGAGATCGCTATCGGTGGAGACGGCTGCCGGAGGTAGCATCTGCCTCGCTTGCTTCGCCGCACTGGTATCAGATCCGCTCTCCCCCACTCACTACGTCTCTTACGCCCTTTCTCAACTCAACCTCTCCTTCGATGACCCCGATCTCCTCATGGAGCTACGGGAACGCCACGCATATCTTCTTGTGGTTCCTCTAGTGGCCGCCCTCTCGGTGTTCGACGACGAGATCGCTCGCCAGGTTATGGAACTGATCTACGATTTCTGTTTTCGAGGTCAAATGGGACGGTTAGGGTTGGGGGGAAGCGGAAGCGAAAGATTCTCCGCCACTTCACTGTCAGGTGATTTCATTGCTCGGATTGCGGATCGGCTTTCGTCGGGGACAATCGCGTGGAGCCGGCGGTATATCTGCTTGGTAATTGGAGTTGGTGCGGTTTAGACTCTCGTATATTAGTATATGTATTATTGAGATCATTGAACAGTTTTAACGACTTCTTTTCAAAAGTTGGATCACTGGTTTTGTGTTCCATGGCTTGTTATTAACTTCTGAATTTATGGTTTAAGTTGCACTGCTTTGGGGAGCTCCTAAATACTCACCAGGCAAGTAGCCCAGCAGTTCACATCAGAGAGAAAGACGCCCTTTTCTCCAACCTGCTTATTGGTCTCCAGCTCCCAAGGTGAGCAACCTTTAGATTTACGACCAGCCAATTAATCCGGTAAGGAATTAATTCCCCAAACTCGTTTTTGTTGGCAGCGAAGAATTACGTGGGGAGGTGTTGTTTGTGCTTTATAAGCTATGCTCTCTCAGTATCACACCATGGGAGAATGTTGATGATGACAATGACGACTGTGCGGGGTCCTTGGACGCTAGGGCAGCAGCCTTGTTGCGGCTTGCATTGGAAATTCTGCTGAAAACCCAGCATGATGAAGTTCGCATGAATTGTTTGGGTAGATCACAAACTTCTTCACTGGCTATAGCTCATGTTTTTACCAGCATTGCCTTCTTTTAATCACACTTTGCCTAGGTACAAACTTTTTCTTTCACGTGGTTGCATATTTAGTGGTTTTCTTTATTACCAGTATGCCAATAATTTTGGGGTATATGTAGTGGGAAAATTAAAAAAGAGGCAGCACTATGATTCATTAACAAGGGACATTTCTGTAAGGTTTAATTTTTTTGTATGTGTGTAACAAATCACGCGGTTTAGTTTTGGTAAAGTCATTTTGTGTTAATCCACTTGTAATCAATTTTGAGTTAACTGTGGATTAATTAGGAGTTAATTAGCTTAAAACATTGTATTCTGTAAATAGGGTCCATTAGAGAGGATAATGGATATGAAAATGAATGAAATATATATATATATATATATATTTTTTTTACTTCCTTTTGGGAGGTTGAGTACCTCAAAATGTTAAAGATGAAGCGAAGAGAGGATGCAGGCAAGTAGGAGAAGGGGGAGGGCGTTTTGTAAGTCTTAAGGGAGACGATGGTGTGCTTTAGAGCTCTAGTAGTTCCGCATTTAAGATTTCATATGTTTTGTATATTAAATATGGTATTATTTATTATGCCAACAACTTATTTAAAAATATCAACAATGGCAAGTAAAGTTTTTGGGACATTAACATAAGCATAAAAATTAACATTCATAAGAAGATTGAGCCTAGGTTTGGAATCAGATCGTTTAACAGTATGTAGGGTTGTGCATTATTTGGTCAAAACTAAAAGATAGAACCTAACTAAACTGGACAAGTTCGGTTGGTTTGGTTTGTGATGCGTGTAAGAGAATTTGCGGTGGTAAAAGTGATTAATTAATTTCTTAGCATTGCTCTAGAACCCAACACACACTCATGTAATAGCAATGATGGACAAAAATATCAGAAGATTTTTATGTGGAAAACTCAGAAAGGATAAAAATCACTGAGCCTTGCCCAATTCAAGAAATTCACTATAAACTGGTGATTATAGGTATGATCCCTTGTCTCACATGAGAGAAATGGTTACAAAGCTTCTCAAGTTATAATGTTGCTGAGTGAAAGTACTTATGACCTTGTGGTAGGGAGCGATTGTAATGAGGAGCAATAGTCGGGGCTTCAATGTACCGTCTTCGGGGTCTGTACGACGTTCAAAATGATGTGTTCTTCCTAGTTTACTTTTTACGGTGTTTTGTCACAAATAGTGGGCGGTGAGTAATGGTAATCGAAGGCAGTCGACGAGGGGTGGTTGTTGGTGGCTGGTGGCGGTTGACGACTGTCAGAGAAGGAGGCATTTGTCGGATCGTTGGTGTAGAAGTGATGCTCGACTTCAGTTTCTTCTCAGTGTTTCAGGCTTCTTCAGATTTCAAGCTCTCAGTTCTCTTCTCATGAGGAGGGTAGAATCTTATTTATAGAGTCCATGTTGCAAAAATGGAAGGAATCCAAATTACTCTTAATCGGACTGCCCAGAGAGATCCCCTTGATCGGACGATATTCGATGGTCATTTTAGTCCTTAATGATGTCGGAATTGAGCAATATTGGGCTCATTGGATTCATTTTGTCGATAGATTCGATAAACTGTGCTTGCTACGTTCGGAATTCATTTAATCTTCCAAGTATACATGGAAAGCTTTCAAATGTGGTTTAACAGTTTTTTTTTTGGATTGATTTGACTTGGATCAGACCAATTTGGTGTCGTTGGGTCTGTCTTGTTGAGATGATCAATTTGATTATAAAATTGCTGAAATAAGAGTTTTGAATGACTTTTAGTTGTAGTTTGAATATTTCTTGCTTAAAACTTGCCTCGAGAACCATGTCGGATGATGGAAATTTGTTGGAGGCGTGTCAGTTTTGTCGATTTAAAAAATGCATTTTAGTCTTTGGGTTTTAAAACCTCAATATTTGCTTTTCATG